ATTGGAGTAAATAAATTTTCCTTTATAATATATTATGATCTCTTGGAATTTCTGGGTATGATTTGCATTGGCTATTTCTTGGTGAAACAACCTATTTGGTTCAATGCATCCTACTAAAGGAAAATCTAAAGAAAAACTCAAGGATTCTTGATGATTTCTCTCTACTTAATTACAAAAAAAGTGGCCTCTTTTTGTCAAAATATATTTAAGGAAATGTATATCAAATAAATAATGATTAATTATAACATTTATTTATATAAAAAATATGAGAATTAATTGCCATATCATCCTGTAGACAAAAAGTGCAATACAATTTTTTGTGCAAATGACAATTGGTTTACATGTAGATCATTCCCAAACTGAAACACTTACATTATAAAAATGCACATCTTTCACTGAAGCCATTATGATCACGTTAATTATGAGATTATGTGTGACCTAAGATTTTCTGTTATCTACCCCCTGAAATATTAGCTAATATATGTCAGCACCCTTATGCCCTTTTCTATTGTCCATGCCCCATATGTATGAAAATCTAAACCACCTGGGTCAGCATTATTGATACAGTAAAAATAAAGCACAGGATATTGGAATTGTTTATTTATTCATGACCAATTATTGTTCTAGATTTTTTTTTCCATGGTTTTTGCAGAGATGGTGATCTTGGTGGGGAAGCAATTGTTGATATTGTTGATGTTTGTGATGACATTATTGACATATCTGTAAATGTTGAATTATTCAATTGCATAATGATACAAAAAAATTTCATTGTTGAATTCTCTGATGATGCTATCTTTGAGATATTATAAGCAAGGTCTTGTAGCAAATAATAAATCTTTACAGCAATACTTCCACTGAATCAGCTTGTTTTTATGGCATTATTATATTCCACAGATGAGAAGATCCTACTGGCAATCCTGGATGATTTCAGCTGAAAGGCAAGAGAGATTAGCATACATCATCCACACACCCTCAAGCACATGCAAAAAATTATTATTTATCAGAAATGTATGATCTTTATTAAAAGTGAAAAGATAAAATCACAGGTTTGGATATAGCTCTTTCATATATGATATTTCCCTAATTTATGCTAATTTATCTTGATCAGTGCATAAATGTTTTGTACTTTGTTCCTCCTGATTCTTGTTGTTTTCCAATGATTTAGCTTGTGCTTGTAGGATCCGCATAATGTGGGTGACTACATTTTTTGCTCCTTTCATATTATCTTCAAAAGTCCAAAAATGTTCTACAGTTATTTCAATTTTTGGGGATTCCAGTGTACCACTCCAGCAGATGAAACGCCAAGATCTCCCTGTTGTCACAATACCAAATATTACTTGTTCAGAACCTATTTTGGATTGTTTACGCTTGCCTAATAAAGATTCAGCCACACTATGAATTTGTACAAGATTTTGGGCAATAGCCTTATCATTTTCCCATAGTTTGGCTTCAGTCACTAAGATAGGGATTTCTTGTATATAGACAGCATAATCCAAAATACCATATCCATGGCTTCCATCAAGCTCAACCTCTACACTTAATCGTGTTGATTGATCATTGTGTGTTCAGACGTGGCTGACCACTAGGCATAAGAAGACTGAAATAAACTCCCGTGCTATTGCTTCATTAATGGTAATTTCATTGTGAAAAACATTCAACTTCTCACGAAGATTGTCACCAAAACGCTTCAAATCTTCATTATTAAGTGCAGGGTCTACCTTAAGGTTTCTGGTCCAAACTGTTTCTCAAAGCCCAAACTAGTTTGGGCAATTTGGGCTTCTCAATATTTTTTATAAGCATGAACATTAAAAAACTATATGAATCAACTTGTTTTAACTTAAACAACTTTAAAATAATTTCACCCAATTTCGGCTAATAACAAAAAGTAGTTTGGGCTTATAAAAAAATAATTTTTGCCCAAAGTATTTGGGCAATTTCGGCTACTAATAGAAGCAGTTTCGACCAGAAACCTTAGTCTACCTTATGAATTTCTTCTACTTTGAATGTTGACATTGAGCCAATAGAATCAAATTCATTATTGTATATATCCCTAGAAACTTCCTTGAGGGTCCAATCTCCATATGCTTTTTTACCCTTGATTTGTACCTTCAAGTCAAGTAAACGTTCACCTCGATCATTTTGATCAGTTCTAACCACCAGTCTATTGAACTGGAACTCATTCTCAATTTTTTCTTCTGAATCAGTTTTACTAACAAAATAGAAATCACTTGTTTTTACATTCTGAAACTTTTCTTTGACTATTTCTTTCAGCATAACCCAGGAACCACTGGAATGCGGCATTCAATAATTGACTGAATTTTGTAAAAATTTTAATCTTGTCAAAACTGTATTTGATTGAATATAAGTGAGCATTAAGTTTAGGAATAGAAAAACAAAACTGTCAAGAAAACCTCACTTACTATCAGCATTTGATAATGTATAGCGCACAACAAGTGGGTTTTCATCAGTTGTGCTAAGCTCTGTAAGTACCATTCCAATATGAAGAGAATTATTCTTGGAAAAAAACTCAATGTTACTATTATTGATATTTTGAAGTTCGTTGAACTCATTCCTAATAATAGGTCGAAGGTCATCCAAGTCTTTAGTATGAGATAATGAACTTCTTACTTTCATGGCTGTTTGTTTTCCCTCAAGTAAAATCCACATTATTATTACAGAACTTGAAGACTCTGTTGGCTTAGTCATAATTATCAACTTTTTAAACCAATCAAAACCAAAAATGAAAATTGGATTCTGAAACCTGCATAGTAATACCCCCTGGAATTCTGCAGTATCGTTGCATCTCAGGGTAAGCTAGTCAGATTAGCCTTGTGTACATGAGAAATGTGTGAGAATGACTGTAAGTGTTCAGGGTAGCATGCGTGCTTCAATGTCTCTAAAATTTCTGATAATCAAATGTTGCATATTTGAAATGTTTCTTCCGTAACAGTCAGTCATGCTTGCCTTGACATCATGTGATTATAATAATATAATATTATTATTAATATTATTGATTACTAAAAGCAAAATATTATCAATGAAAATCTTGTAATTACCCAGCAAGATCTGTTCCGCGTTTTGATTCCAATTAAAATATTTATATAAAATAAAAGACACATTATATCAATACAAATAAAAATTAGTACCTCTGATTAGTTATTAACACGTTTCTTTAGGAGACCCAAACCAAACCAAACAACAACACTCGCATTTTGTCACCTTGGACTGTCAAAAAATAAATTGTTTTTCCAAAAAAAAACAATTCGCGTCTGTCCTCCCAAAAAAAAAAACCAATAGGATAAATAATTAATGTGTACGCGTCGATCAACAAATTTTTTAAAAAAGAAGAAATAATGAAATAATCGTGATGAACATTTTGCCAGGTAAGTGTTTTAAGGATGGTGGTGGTGGTTACCGCAACCACTTGGCGTCACCCTAGTATATATATAAAGATTGGTGGTTATTGCAATCGTTGCCACGCGTCATCACTCTAGTTAATTATAAACTTTTTTTTTTATTATATAATAATTAATTAAAACTTCTTTGTATTTGCATTAGATCACTACCACTTTCTTCGCTATCATCGTTTTCATCACCTTCAACTAATGTAAGTAGATTTTATTGATGACATGTTGTGATGGTGATTTAGGGTTATTAAAACTAAATACGGGATTTATGAACCTCAAAATATATTCAGCAGAAAAAATTTCTAATACAAAATTATTATTATTTCTCTTAAAAAAAAGGTTGAAGATGATATCAGTCATTTTAAAATTTTAAAAAGTAACATTGATATAATGGAACTTAATGTAAATATTGATTCATTTAATGGTTTATATTTTTAATCTGATAATAAAATCAATTGATTTATTTGTTATTTTTATTTATTTCAGGCTGAAAAGGTGTCATATTGGCCATGGCTCTTTCAAAGAAAAGCATTCGCTCCAATAGAAAATGTTGTAAATAATGTGTCATTATCATCAGCTGCAACTCAACACAAGTGATACTGCAACTTAGATTAAAGCATATAATAGAGAGATATGCACCAGATCACTTGAACTATGATGATCCAATAGTTTCTTCAATTGTTGACACATCAAATCCTCACCCATGGCTTAGAAATAACTTTTCAAATGAAGAATGGAAAAAAATTTCGGATAAGTCAAATTCAAAAATAAATGATGTTGGAAATGTGAACTTTATTGGTGAAAATCATATGAATGACCTAAGAAACCATTTGTGAGTATTTATGTATCTTTTGCTATAAAAATCTTCATTGCTAATAAATTACTCTAGTTATTTTATTCGCAAAAATTCGACTTACACTAAAAAGGATAAGTTTATAAATGAAGGCACATGGCGAAGCCATTGCACCACAATTCCATTCAATATTGTTACTCGTGATGTTGGAACTTTACAACTAATAATGTAAGTTATGTAAATATATAAATTGGGAATTCCTGCAACCAAGATTGAAAAATTTTTTTTTACATAGCAATTACTTGCAGGAAATGCTAATCAAAAAAGTATTACTTTTACCATAATCCTGTATACTTTTATATGTCTACCTCACCTGTGTATACATTTATTTTCATTGTTGCGAGAGGATTAGTATTGGGTCCAAGAGAAGAAAATTAGAAAGTATTAGTGATAATGACAGTGAAGAAAAGGTGAGTGTAAAATCATAGAAAATATTATTTTGCATAAACATTTTTTAATTTTAACAATTTTATATATTTACAGAAGAATAAACATGGGAAAAAGGCTGATATAACTATTCTAACAAAAAAAAGTATTATGATCCAAAATTAGTAAGTTCGAAATTTATTTCAGTGAAATTTGTCTTTCACCTTGGATAAAACTGCTGCCAAAAATAAACTCGGATAAAAATAAAATGACGAGGATGATAAAAGACAGTTTATTACCTCACAACTAAATATTCTTATAAAAAATATGGAAAAAATTCTAACAACAATAAAAACCTTAACTTGAAGAATTTAGAAGTATTCGGCGCTATAATATCTGGTAATCATTTTTTATCACACAGTTGATCATTAAACCAATTATCTAATTGTTTATTTGTTAATTAATAGGATTTAATATGGAAGTATACTCTTTAGATAAAGTAGGTTATAAAATATATAGAATACGTTTAATGAGAACTTTAAAAATTCCTGTGAGGGAAGATAATAATGAATATTATCGGTCTTTAAATCAATTGATGGTAAATAATATATGATTTATGTGACAAATTTGATAAATTTTATTTTAAATATATTTTGATTTTATAGTATGCGATCCATGATATGTCAAGTATGATTGAAAACTTGGATAAGTCTCTCAAAAAAGAGAAAAAATTGCTTGAATTTAGTAAAGATTTAAAATGCTGTTATGAAGAACGATCATCTGGCTAGGAATGGAAATCTAAATTAAGAAATCAATAAATTCATGAAATTGAAATCTTATGGAGTGGGGTGAAATTCTGATTGGCTAATTTGAATTTCACATATGTGAATTGCGAATTCACATAATTTCATTTTAAGAGAACAAAATTCATTATTTTTATCTAATAAAATAATTATTACATATTATATTTTTATTAGATTAGGGTTAAAACAAATCAATAATTTAATTAAAAATAAACTATTAACTATATATATAAAATTGCTACCAACACCAATATATCTTTTAATGATGATAATAGTTAATATTATATAAAATTTACGAATAAACTTTTTTTCAACATATATAAAAAATAAAATTGTATCTCCCTCAAAAAAAAAAGGTACAACTATGAAATTAAGAAAGATTGTAATAAATATGATGGTGAACGTGATGACAGAGTTTTTTTTAATTTTATTAGTAAAATCATCTAAAAATGTTGAAAATACAGTTAAACTTTGAAGTATAAAGGCTTGATAAATAGATAAGATAGAGCAAAAATCTTTCCGTAGTTTTATCAGCAAAAAGAGAATTTATAAGGATTTCCTTTGAAAATCTTTTCCTTTTAAAGAAAATAAAAAAGAATCGTAAGAAACAAATTTTAAATAAAGAAATATTTAGAATTAACCGGCTTGATAAATTTTATTTTTGTATAGTTTTCAATTTAAGAGTTAAACCATCATAAATAAATATTTTTTAATTTGAAAATTCACAATAACCGATAGATTTTTTGATGTAACGTTGAAAAAATCCGCGTAGTAATTGTTCTAATGATGTAATCTATGTTTGGTGATCTACAAGGATGGAACACTCCAATATTTTATGCATTTTTCTTTTGACTAAAAACAATCATGGTGATAAATGTAATTTTGATCCCTGTAATTCACTTTGTCTGGTTTTGTTGCAGCATGCCCAATGAAATGTAACCATTAGAAAACTTGATTATTGAACGTAAAATAAGAGAATTGGTGGAAAGATGGTAATGATAGGTGATGGAAAATAATAGTTATACATATATATATATTGAAGTTTAACATAGCAATAATAATTTTTTTATATAATTTATGTAGTCTATATAGTGTTGGATCTTTGATTCCATATATAATTTAGCTTTTAGTAATCTCAACCAATTTATCACAAGAATATAAATCCTTTGATCATCATCTGTTCCAAGAAACTATTTTATTTACCTGTATCATATAAATTAATAATACTCTCTAATAAGCTCACCATTGCCTCAAGGATTTTTACAAATCATCATCACCATATTTTCCTAGCACTGACAATGTTAAACATTGTGCATTAATCCTAATGTCTTATTGATGGTTCATATAATTAATTACTCCATTTGTTAATGTCATTCCAATTGGAAGTTGGTATTTTTCTCAATGAAAAAGGGTAACCCTGACCATACCATTATATCACATAAATTTCCTAAACACAACATAAACATTTTAAAAAATAAAATCATCAATATTATAATCAAATCAACACCACAGTCATCATTATTATAATTACTTATCTGATATAAGCAAGAAAACATTACAAGAAATCTCTACTATTACATGCTAATTGATTTTTATTAAAGATATAGTTATATACAACCTTTCTTACATGAATTTTTTTTTTACAAAGTTCATTCATCACTTTCTTCCTCTTCTGAATCTGATTTACTCATTAGTTAATCACTGCTGCTACTCCTTTAATTGATAAAGAACCCCCTCTTTCAAAATAAATGAAACAAATAATTAATTGTAGCACAAATAATGTGTGTAATTCAATCTTTTTTCAACAAAAAATATTTATAAATGTCTTCTTCAACAAAGTAAATATAAATTAAATTATTTCTAGATTTATGATTTTTTTTAAAAAAATTTTCATTTTACTGATAATTATCAGAACACCTTTGGAAAAGGAACTGAGTATGTTTTTTGTTTTTTGTTGATTTGATTTTCTTGTAAAAATTTAATGCTAAAAATGATTTTAAAAAAAAAATAGTTGAATCAAATCAAAAATTATGGCAAGAAATAAATAACATAACTAATAATCATTTATCATATGTA